AGGGACAAGAAGGTGGGATGAGAAGAGTATTTCAGTTTCCTCTTCCATTAGGACTGTCAAGCTGTGCAGGGGGAGATGAGTGACCCCACACAATGGGTGGCAGTGGGCTGGTGGAGCCCCTTCAAACCTGGGAAGAGAGAGGCCATGCTGGCTGCTCCTTCAGAGGGCAGAACAAGTCCCCAGCACTCTTTACATGACCTGTATCTGTGCAGTTTGACGGATTCTTCTATAATTAACCATTGTCAAGAACACTTCTGAAAATGCCGGCTGGCATTTCAAATAGGAACATCAGATTAGGGAGAAGAGAGGTAATGAGGTGCAAGGAGAAAATCCTTCCCTGGGGAACAAATCAAACCTGATATCATCATGAAGGGTAATGAGAAATGTACTGCCAAACTGGGGAGGTTCACTGTGGATGCCTAGAGGAAATGAAACTCTGTATTCCTATTTAAAACACCAAGAGGGGATGCTGATGTTTTGGTCTACTGTTTAAGTCAGGGGACATGCAGTCCTGCCTCTTGTGTGTAGTTTTGCCACATGTTTCCTGAGTCCTTGGGCAAGTCACTTCACCCCTCTGTGACATAAGGTATGCCTACACTGATGTAAGCAAGCCAGTGCAAAAAGAGTGTGCCTTACAGCCACATGACAGGTTTGGAAGCTGTGACAGCATCTACACTGCTAAATAACACAGGGCTCAGTGGCACAGATGAGTCCTGTCCACACTACATAGAACTTGGCCTCTCTTCTTTTTTGATCTCACATGATACCTCTGTGGCCCTAAGGCAATACTGTTTTGTTTTACTCTTTTCTGCGGTTTGTAGTATTTTAGTACTACCAGACCTTATGGCAGAGCATCACAGCAGTATTTTTGCAGCATCACTTTGAGGATTTGTGTTGCATATTCTGGCATGTGGCAGGAAGATCTGTGTCTGCGTCTGGAGGAGTAAACCCAGGTTTGTTGGTGTGGGAGAACTGCACAGTGTTGAAGGAAGCAGACCTGTACCCTTCTGTCTTTACTGCCTGTGGCAATCCTGTCCCCTGGAGCAGTCATGGGTGTCACCTGGGCCGGCAGTGCCAGACAGTGTGCTGACAATTAAAGTATTGACCACCTGTGATGCTGTAAATCAATTTGTTTTCTGGCTGTGCTGCATTTAGCAGTATAAATGAAGCCTGTGTGGCCGTGTCAGCAGGGCTGTGTGCCCACATTGTTAGATAAGTCAGGGTATATTGTTTCACGCATGGTGCTCCACAGTTGAAGGACCTGTGGCCACTAGAGCTCATGTCATAGATACAGAGAGTATTAGGTGGCTGTCACCACAATTACTAACCTTACAGGCATACCCAGTAGCTTAAAGTGTGTAAGGAGAGTGGATATTCTCTACATAGAAGCTGGAGCAAAACAGTGTTACTTGAGACAGTGTTTTTCAGCCTTTAGCAATTTCCAAATAATATGCAAGTTCTCCAGGAGAAGCCCAGACTACCTATAGCAAAATGCTCTTGACTGTGGATGTTCTTTCCTGGGCTCCTGGCATGTGGTCACAGGACTCTTGGGGATCCAAGAACCACCGGTTAATGACTGCAGACACATGGGAGACAGTGGACGTTACAAGGAGAGGGCCAGAAGTAGGTGGTGAGTGTGAGACTTCCTTAGCGTGTTTTAGGAGGTATTAAAACCTGATGCGGTGTTTGATGCCCAAGTACCTGCTCTGTGTTCTCAGGGCAAGGATGCCATTTCCCACAGTAGTCTGTGGGAGCAAGGGGAGTTGGATGTGAGGACAGAGCAAGCCTGCAGGGCATCCTGAGTATCAGCCAGTAGTACTGCAGGGCTGGAAGAGCTTGGAAGCATAAGGACCCCATGCTAAGAGGGGCAAGATGTTCTTTCCCTCATCTGCCATCCTGTTGATGTACCCTCATTGCTGATAGCAATCTTATGTATCTGCAATCTTGGTCTCATCTGTGTGTCACCTCTCTGTTCTTCCCCCGCACTGCCACAACCACCACAAGAGGTTTTGTTACTCCTCAAGTTATGTGGCTCGGAAGCATTTACTCCATGCAGCTCTCTGCTGTTCATTTTAGATCCCCATGCAGGACTTGGGGCCAGTGCTGCTTGGGCCTAGGCCTTGGGCTTGGGCTTGCCCTTGGGCTCCTTGCAGAGTTGGCTGTGTCATTTTTGTACCAACAGTCTTGCTTGGCGTTTTACTTAAATCTTGTGACGTGTGAGTTGCTTGGATGTCAGACAGCATGTTGTGAGTCAGAGCAAGTCAGTCAGTATCTCAGTGCCCAACAGAAGAGAAATATAAGGGTAACTGTCATAGTATTTGCAGCATAATTTTTCGTACTGAGATTTGCACAAGCTTGTTGGAGTTATTCAGCATAAAAGCCCCACGATTATAGAGGATCTGACTCATTAGAAGAGCCTCTGTTTCTCCAGAGAACCCCGAAGAAAGCACAGAGCTTTAATGCATCTAAATTCACTTGAGGGCGTCTGGTGCTATCAGTTAAACTCTACAGAAAATATATTTCTTCCCTTCACTGTTTTTACCATTTCCCTTTTCCCTTAGTGTTTCCCCTGACTTGTCTTCTTCCTGTCTGTAACACAAACAGCAGAAGTGGCACCTTTTTGCTGTGCAGATTTGCCCCCGTGTCCATTCTTCCTGCCACCAGTAGTGACTGCAAATGTTTCCTGCTTTTCGTCATGAGAGGCACTTGGAGTGAAAACAGCTAAAACAGGTCGTAAGGCAGAGTGTATTTCATTCTGTTCATCCTTTGTGTTTGGTACTTAGTGGTTTCTGGGCTACCTGAATACCTACACAAGGCTGATGTGAGGCAGATTATGGAGAGGATAAGTAAGAGTAGGAGTAACGTGGAGATGATTTGACTTGCAGAATCTATTACTGGTCTTGCTAATGGGAAGATACCATCTGGTTTCTAGGTCCTAGTCCATAGGCCTGACAATTGGCAATGAGAAATTTTTAGCTTGCAAACTGAGGAGATGTGACATGGTATATCCAACATGATCTAAAAGGTGATACCATGAAAATGGCACCTCTTTTCAGGGGAGGTCATACTTCTATCTTTGGGGTTCTTTTTCTCTTTGCCATTTGGCATTTCACTCATTTCACTGTCCTGGGAGTCAAAAGTTGATTACAGGGTGGTGAAACACTCAGACTCCTCCTTGTTTCTACCAGTATTATTCTGTGGTCTGGCCTTTGGCTAATTCCCTCCTCTGACCTCCTTGTTTCTTGACTGTATGATGCTGGATTTGCAAGATGGATGTTCTTCAAGCATTTCACACTGTGTTGCCTTGCATATTTTATATCAGTGTTCTAATTAAGTCATCAGGTCATGATGGATGAGTGTTCATGTCAGTGACTCTTCTCTGAACAACGAAGAGTGGAAGGAAATCTCCAGGAGCCTGGGAAGTGTGTGCAAAAGATTTGGTCTTATGGGAACTGTTAACATGCTCTTCCTGAGGCTGAGTTTGGAGTTGATACATGATGTCGGATGGGATTCCCTGGCAACTGAAAAACTGCTCAGCTCTGGCTTTTCCAGTGCATGCTCCCACACATCTCCTTGAACAGTGAGCATCGTTCCTCAGCTAGATCTAGTGAGAGCAGCTCAGTCCAAAATTGCAGGAAAGTAGGTTTGGACATAAAAAAAGCAGAAAAATACCTCAGGTCCTAATCCTGGTGAAAGAGCAAAAGCTGGTCACAGAAAAGCTGCCCAAGGCTAAGTACTGTTCCTGTAAGAAGGCACAGGCAGTGGACTGAGACACAGTATTTGCTTTCTTTCCAGACTCGTGTCAGCTGTCTTTTAGTCTGTGCTGGCTTTCCACTCCCTGCCCTTCTCTCCTTAAGTGTCTGTCTACTTCAGCAGCAACAAATAAAAGACTTTCTTTGCATTGTGAAATTGGTAAGCGGGACATTCCTGGGGTCAGCGGTCAGCACCAGGCCAGCCAAGCTCATTTGTTTAGAGGGTATCCTTGCAAGACTTCTCACTCTGAGTGTACAAGCCTTGCATAAGTGATGGGGATCTGCACACTGGCAGTCTCCGTGCCTGGTGGTCAGTCAACGTGACAGCCGTTGATTCACTTTGCCGTGGCAGTGCTGGGAATCAGATCCTGAAGTGAGCATGCAGCCCAGTGTAAATTGTGGCTCCCTGGTGTGGTGCTGACCCACGTCCCTCCATCCGTCAGCTATGAACAATCCAAGGGGATCAGCAGCTCATGCAGCTCATTTTGAGTTCTAATCAATTCCAGTCTCACAAGAATCTCGGGGAGCCCACACATCCCTCCAGAAGGAGGGATGTTCAGGGCAGACAAACAGAATATGTGTGTGTGCTGTGCTAGAACAACAGTGAAAAGTGCTGAAAGCCAAGGAATAAAATTCTTTGGGAGAACAGGAACCTAACATCACAAAGAGACAAGCCTTCAAACCTTCATCTTGATATAAGAGGGCAAATACCCACTTTCAGAATATATTATGTTCAAGGCTCTTTGGATTTGGGAGGTTGAGAGAAGGTTTATGACACCTTACAGTGGTGTCAGGAAGATGCCTTCTCTCTCTCCTATACATCTTCTTTTCATTCTTTTTTCCTTTTCTACTTTTGTGTCTGATGTTCAAGTTGATTTGATTTTCTGATTCCTCCTGCATTTAATTTCCCTGAGTGCAGTCTCTGCCTGGATTTAGAGTCATAATCATTAGTATTTGGAAGTGTGAGGTTAAAATGATAAAATAAATTTGTTAAGATGTGGGAGTTTTTTTCTTCTAGCTTTTCAAGACCTAATTATTTTGCAGCTGATCTAGTATGAAATTGATAAGATGAAAATGTAAATTTTACAGGTTTAGTATTGAAAGTATTTTTCATCTGATCAAAGAGAGGGAAACATTTTGCAAAACACAAAGCTTGCGTTTTTGCAAATGTCTGAAGTTATGTGGTTGTAGTCAGGCCATCAGGAAATCCACAGGGTATCCACTAATGTTTATTTCATTTTTCTACAGGAGGTCTTGACCTTATCTTCATGCCAGGCCTTGGGTTTGACAAAAAAGGCAACAGATTGGGAAGAGGGAAAGGATATTATGATACCTATCTTGAAAGATGTATGAAACATCCCAGTGGAAAGCCTTACACGATTGCCTTGGCTTTTAGAGAGCAGATTTGTGAATCAGTGCCTGTGACAGAAAATGATGTTCCAATAGATGAAATCCTTTATGAAGACTGCTGAAAGTGTCTTGATACCAACCTAGCTTCAGAGCAGCCAACCAAAGACGTCAGATCTATCAATCATGGGGTTTTTAATTGTCATATATTACTTTGGGAACAATAAAATACCCTATTTGTGTTTGGGAAAAAAAAACAAAAAAAACAGTGTAAATGTGGTAATGGTAGTGAGGATTACATTGATTTGCTTCTAATTAGCAAATGTCTGGTGTGAATTCTTATTCTAGAATCTATAGAAACAAGAATGTGTGACTATTACATAAGGGACCATTTCTTCTCACCATATTTTTGAGGTACAAGCTTCTTGATACTTAACAGTTTTATTATTCCAGTTTAAAAGTTAAACATCTGCTAATGTCAGTTCTTGATCCATTGCCGAATTAGATACTTCTTATGGTTAAAGTTCTTAGTACTGAAATATTGTGTACATCCATGAGCAAAACAAGAAATTGCCAGATAAGTCCTAGAGTAAGCTGAGAAAAAAAATGGTGATTGGAAAAAAGCTGTAATTGATTGTGGTGTATACAATAATTTTGGCTGTTTACTTGGCTCCTTGCAGTTGTCTTAAAATAAAGGGAGTATCTGATATTAAAAAAAGGCTTATGTCCATAACTTTGGTATATGGTTCTTTCTTTAATGGAAGACAAGATTGTAATGTAGTCTAAAATGTGGTCAGTGAGTTTTCCCTCTGGAGTGAAACAGCTCTTTTTTTTTTTTTTTTTTTTTTGTAAAATAATATTCAAAATTACTTAAAGTTCTCTAATTTTGTGCGTGGGCCATTCATAATCTCCAAAAATACTATGTGTACTTTGGGTGCTATGTTAAATGATAAAGAGATGCTAAGAATTGTAGAGAGCAGGTTCTCCAGACCGTCATGGAAATCCGGAAGAAGACAGTGAGTTTCCTCTGCACACTGTCCTCGTAGCAATAGGGCACAGTATTTCCAGTCAGGATCAATCAAACTGTCAGAATTTTGTGTTCCTTTCTCAGTGCAATTTCACCTTTTCTGTGCATGTTTAACTCTTCCCTCAATCAATAAATCAGTGCATTTATTTTCACCAGTCTACTCTGTGTCATCATTAAAAAATCCATGAATTCTCAGGGACCAGCAGCAGAATGGAATGACCTTAAGACTTTGTGTTTTTCTTAACAAAACCGCGTGTACAGCACATACAAAGCTTTTCATCAGAATGCTTGTGTTTAGTTTTATTTCCATTTTGCCAATACAGTAACTAATTAAACCCTCTTGCTCTGGGGTGAACATAAGCTTAGCAGCTGAGGTCTCTCTGGCCTGTGCTCCCTGGTGCTTCTCCATCCTGTGTTAAGCAAGGTCCATCTGGCTGAAGATCCCTTCAGTGTTGGCCTGCTGGGCATCCCACCAGTGTGCCCAGGAAAGCTGCAGCCTGAGCAAGACAGCTGGTAGCAGCTTGAAAGATGGGCTACTTAGTAAAATTATGGTGGTCAGACTTGGGTTTCCATCCATGCCTTGTCCAACTGTTTCACTCCACCAAATGAATGGTGAGTTCATGGGTGAACAAAGGCTTGTGTGAGCAGAAAGTGAGGTGACAGTATCAGTGCTGGTGGGTGCATTGGAGTGTCATCCAGCTCCCTTCAGCTCTGAGTGCTCCTAGATGTGCTGCCTTACAGGAGATAGTCTTGCAATTCCACACCTCTGGGGAATAAATATAATGAGAAAATTTAACCTTTTTTTTCCCCCCCAATCCCTGTCCTGGCAGAATTTTAATCCCTTCTTTATTTCGAAACTTCTGTTGTCATATGGAGAGCAGCAAAACAAAAAGATGAGGCAGGTTTTGCAAGTGGCAGACCTGTTTCTGGGTTTGTCTCAAGGCTGTTTGAGTTCACCTACCACATTAGGCTCAGCACTGTGCCATATGGCATGGCCTGCCACCGACATCAACCAAAGCCATGCTGAAGCCAGTGCTTGTCACAGCAGAAACCTGGATGCCGCATCTGAAGGGTGTTTTAAGTGCATATATTAATTCCTACCTTTGGATCAGCTTTTGATCTTGCTGTCTGAGCTTTGATTTATTCATTACAATAAGAGCTACTTCGCTTGTAGGTGTCTCACTATGGATGATATCAGGTGAACCCCTGCGGACAGAAAGGCCAGGACATGGGGAAGAGGCTTCAGAGCCAGCACTAACAGTTGTACAGAAACAAAGGGCTTAGAGAGAGACAAGGACTTGGTTTTGTGGTGTGGGAGTTCAAAATAGGAGGGGGGAAGTAAAAAGAGTTTGGATGCAAAATATAGGCCCTCATCCAGCACAACCGCAGATAGGCACCAAGCTTTGTCCTTGTGGGCTCACTGGAGTTGCTGGAAGTAATTGGTAGAGAAAAAGCAAGTGAGCTTTGAAAGCTTTCAAGACTTGGGGCAATGAGCATCCACAAACTTCTTATGCCTCACTTTCAATCTCACTTATCACTTTTCAATACATCATTGAGCCATTATTTCCTGCTTTGACTCCAAACTGCCCTTTTGGCTACAGCTGCAGTGGGAAAGGGTGAGGAGACTATTTAATGTACTGTGTTACTGGAACAAGAGCTGGTGCTTTGCGTCTTGCCAGCCTCTCCTGAGTCAAGAGTTGATCATGACAGACTCATTGGCCAGGCTGGATGAGCTGCAGGACCCTGGCTGATGCAGATAGCTCTTAACATTTGGCTGGTGGGGATAGTAAAACAATATTTATGTATATTGTCTGGAGAATCATGGAGCTAAATAAATGTGACGGTTTTCATTTGACATCCCCAGCCTTGCTGCTGTCGCTCAGGGTTTTCCTTTTTGCCACATAACATGAAATCACTGTCAGTTTGATATTATATAGCAGTGCTCCTGAAGCACAAGGGTTAGGGGGGTGGTGGGTGCAAGCAGGATTATTTACGTTTGCTATGCATGAAGTGGCACTCGGGGAGCAAGGCAGGCTGCCAAGACAGAGAGAAATCGGGGCTGTCTGGTTGCTCTCTTGTATCTCTCCATGCTGGATTGTCAGGGTAGGATTTATAAAAATTGCTTCAAAACAGTATCATCTTTCCTCAAATGGACATGCCCCCGTCTGGTGCAGCGAATGCCATTATTGCTATTCTCATGACAAAGCGTCTATCAATCTCCACTTTGTTTGTAAACAAATCTGCCTGCCTTGCATAAGAAAAAGATAGACTAAAGAAAAATACCATTACCGAAGGAATAAGTTAATTATATTTCAGGATCTCAGCAGGGAATGTTATCTCAGAGTATTCAGTAAGATCTGACCAGTGGAGTTATAATTAAAAAATGTCCCCAGGGAGGAACTTGTAAATTATTTACCGTAAGGGGCTTTTCCAGGCTCTTTTAGTTTAATTACACACTCTGAAGGAGAAAGGCCTCAGAAACAAATTAACTAAGAGGTTGAAATGGCTTTGTTAAAATCATGTTCACAGCTAAGCAAGCGGGTGACTGTGAGCAAGGTTCAAATATAGGACAAATCTTTGAAAGCTGACATTACTCATGGTTTAAAAATCATATGGAAAGCACCAAAAAGTCTGTGCATAGAAAATGCAGTTGCTAGTTTTGTCCAGTATTCCTGCTGACCTTGAAAGGCTTAGTATGTAGCCCAGGTCTGACAGTGCCTCATGTCCTCGTGGCCATTTGCTCTCTAGGGAGGAAGTGGCATTTGTGGATTTTTTGGTAGAGTACAGAGGAAACCAGTTGGACTCGATGATCTTAAAGGTCTTTTCCAACCTTAAGCATTCTATGAGTCTATGATTCTCAGCCCCAGCAGCGGGAGATGAAAGATTAGAAGTGATGGAGAGGCAGAATAAGAGGATGCTGGGACTATATGAATTTTCCATCCCTCTCTCACCATCTAGGGCATTTTAGCTCAAAACATCCTGGTTAAGCCTTAGTGGAAGGTGGTCTGAGTGTGGCCCTTGGTGCCAAGAGACAGGCACTCATGCTGTTAGGGGTTATGTCCTTTTCCAGTGTGTGGGTAAAAACAGCTGGTTTGACCTCTTGGTCACATGTGGAGACTGGAAGTCGAGAGGCTGTAACTCCCCATTTGTCTCAATCACTGATTCATTGCTTGGCCAAGAAGGAGGCATTATCTAATATCTGTTTGCTGAGGAATAAGATAGCCAGGAATACTCTATCTGCCTGTCTGTTGATGCCAGATTCTGTGTTTGTAATGGCCTTTCAGCTGTGGTTGCCCTTGAATGTATTTTACTTCTGAAAAGCCCCACATCTGCTTTGGCACCCTTACCAAAGAGCCAGGCACAGCTGCTGGGGCCCATATACAGACCTACAGCACATCTCTTTACCTTGGGTCTCCTTTTTCTTTCAAATTTATTGCACTTACATGTACTTAGATGGAAACTGCCCCAGAGTTAAAAATCTCTCTACCCCATGCATATGTACAGTCTTCAGCAGATGCCATGTGATTGTTGCCTGAAGGCACCATTATCACATCCTAAACAATAAGTTCTCCACCTTCAGGCAAGCTATGTGAAAATCTGGAGATGAAAGCTGCTCTGGTCGTTCATCAGGCAGATGAGATCTCTGCTTTTATTTTGTTATACTGTAAATTTGCTACTTAGTTTTCTAGTCTCTCTGAAAACTACTGAATCATAAAAATGCTTGTAGCAAATGCCAGCTTGTCTGTCACCAGAATAATGCATTTTAAATGTCTTATCAGCTCCAAGAGAAGACTACAATATTTTGGAGATGATTTGGATATATAGTTAGAGAACAAAATATGTTGACATCTTTTGAATTGTCTTGATCAGTAGATTTTATTTTGTATTTTACTGTAGTGCATCCAGTAGTACTTGGGGAGGAAAGAGAAGACATCCCTAAATTTCTGCAAAGGTACCTTATTGATGGGCAAAACCACAGAAGAGTGGAGTAGGACATAATGTAAAATGAAGGATTTTTCTTGAAAGGGCAGGACTGTAAGGTTTGAATATTCACAGCAGCAGTATTGCCACTTAATTATTAGGAATGCTGAGTCCATATTAACCTTTATGGAAAAGTACTATAGACTATAATAAAGCTGAATACTTTTCTATAGCCTTTTGTTATCACCTTGTCAAATTTAATAAAATATTACTAATAAAGAATTTATATTAGAATGGCTAAAAAAATTACTGGAAAGTATCATTTCCTATTAAATAGTTTAGATTCATAGAGTGATTGTTACCAGACTGTATTAAAATGTGTATGACTTTTCATTTTGGATGCAGCTGGAAAATGTAATTACAGATAAACTCTGCAGGGCCTTGGCTGTTGTTGCCTTGCTCATGATCGAGCTTCCCTGTCTGGTTTTGTGTCCCTGCCATCCTGCACACCCAGGGTAAGTCAGAGTGGAGCTAAGGACTGCCTGAGACCGATCCAGGTGGGATGAGGGAGGATTGGGATGATCTCATGTATATCTTTTGGTTGGAGTAGGATAACACAGGGTGTATTGAGGGTAGGGGAGTCAGGCAGCATCTCTGACACACTGCTTGAGGGAGTCAGCCCAGAAGTCTCATTTGACAAAGCAAATTACCTTCAGGTCATGTGAGCTGATAGTGCTTTGGGCACACTGATGGTGAAGAACAAGGCTGTCAGACTTTGCCAGCTGTGAGGGCTTTGCTTCACCAGGGCTGGCCCTGGAGGGCTGGCTGCTTTCTACCTGCAACCCTCACAGAGAGAGGTGGGAATATCTTCTCTTGGAGACCCCTGATTCTTGTGCAGCTCCAAGCCCGAGCTGGCACATCAGGCAGAGCTGACAGCAGAGGAGGAAACTGCTCCCATTTTATCTCTTTAAGGTCTGTAGTAAGGCCAGGCCATGCAGAAGCTCTCACAGCTGCAGAGGCCAGACTTTGCTCTACAATCTTAGAGATTTTCAAAGGATCATAGAATTGTTTAGGTTGGAAAAGACCTTTAAGATCATCATTTCTGACCATTAATCCAGCACTGCCAAGTCCACCATTAAACTGTGTGTGTTCCTCCCCCCCAATATGTGTATCTAAGTGGTGTAACAGGTCACTGACCATTTCCCCTTGAATTATGGGGACTTCATTCTGC